AAAATACCAAAATTTAAATGTCAGTATATAAGAGAAGACTGAGCTGGTTTATCAACAGGTCTGCAGACTGTAGGCCAAAGTGTTTCTGTTTTCTGTAGGCTTACCAGGATTGTCCTATTCTTTGCCCAGCCTCTGCTTCACCCAAAGTAGATTTGGGGCAAATACAACATAAAAGCATAGCACAGCTGGCCCTTGAACAACTGTACTGTATTTGAACTGCTCAGGTACATTTATTTAGACATGGATTTCTTTCTGCCTCTGCCAATCCTGAGTCAGTAAGACCAGGCCCTCATTTTCCTTCTCCTCAGCCTACTGAGCATGGCCAGGGTACAGACTTTTATGATGATCCACTTCCACACGATAGTATTAATAAATGTATTTTCCTTTTTTTTTTTTTTTGAGACAAGACTCTCACTGTTGCTCTGGGTGCAGTGCTGTAGCATCATAGCTCACAGCAACCTTAAACTCTTGGGCTTGAGCAATCCTTTTGCCTCAGCCTTCTGTAATAGCTGGGACTATAGGTGTGTGCCACCACTATACCTGGCTAGTTTTTTTATTTTGTAGTAGGGATAGGGTCTTGCTATTGTTCAGGCTGGTCTCAAACTCCTGAGCTCAAGCAATCCACCCACCTTGGCCTACCAGAGTGCTAGGATTACAGGCATGAGTCACTGTGCCTGGCCACTTTATGATGGATTAACATTATTTTTTCTAGTGTACTTTAAGAATACAGGATATAATGCATGAAACACCCAAAACATGTTAATCACTGTAAACCTTCTGCTCAACAATAGGCTATTAGTTAAGTTCTTGGGGAGTCAGAATTTATCTGCAGATTTTTTTAACTGCACAGGGGTGTCAGTGTATGAATAACGGAACTATTATTCAGGCCGACAGTGACTTCCTGATAAGACTGGTTTCCATCTTTCTCACTCTGTAAGAAGCTTCCTGCATCTTGTGAGCTGCCCTGTGGAGAGAACCTTTGGTCACCAGATGACCAAGGGGAGTACTTGAAGGTGACAGTAGTGATATTCAGCAGTACTGAAGTGATCTGCAGCACTTTTTCTGGGATGAGTGTGTGATCTTAATTGTCCAAGCTGGTATGTGCTTTCTTGTGTCTAGCGTCTTTCACTCAGCATAATATTTCTGATTCATTCATGTTACTGTGTATACTAGTAGTTCACTCATTTTTTTTATTGCTGAGTGGCAGTCTATTGTATACCATTGCATACAATTGATTTATCCAGCCAACTGTTGATAGACATTCAGTTGTTTCCAGCTGTCGTATTTGGGCACTTAGAAACAGGGAAGAGAATCAAAACATGAAACTTAAAATGGGCAGATACGCCAACATCTTGTTCGTATGACATTTTATATATTTAGTCATTGCTGAGGAACCCACATTGCCAGGTTTGCTTCCCTGGTAACCGATCCATATACTGCCATATTCTTTTTTTTTTTTAAAATAGTTTAGGAAATTTGATCCATTGTCTAACTTTATTAATACATTTTGGTGGTATCTTTTGTGTGTGTGTGTGTGGTTTTTGGCCGGGGCTGGGTTTGAACCCATCACCTCCAGCATATGGGGCCAGCGCCTTACTCCTTTAAGCCACAGGCACCGCCCGATACTGCCGTATTCTTATATAAAACCATATGTTTTGGGAAGTTGGACAAGTTTCAGTTTCTTTTATAAAATGTGACTTTTCCAGCCTTACTCTCATCTCAACAGAAGCTATTCTATTCTACCTGAAAAGGTGTTTTCATTGAATTTCTAAAGTTTACATATGAACTGCTTCATCCTTCAAAAGGATCTTATTTACAAACAAGGTCAGTAAGGGTCTCTGCCCAGGATGCCCACTATACCCGGCCCTCTGACCCTGCTCTGTAGCTAATTTCTTCAGAGACGCTTTTCTCGTCCTTAGCCTGCTATCGAGCCCCACTTCTTTCCACATGCCCCCAATCCTTTCCACCACTTCATCACTAACAGATGCATTCTTTTATTTCTCTTATTCATGTATAGATCTCCTTCTCCCCTACAAATACACTATATGCTCCTTAAAGATAGGAATTATTTTTCATCTGTGTCTATCAGTAGCACTTTGCACAATACCTAGCATACAAAGGGCATTCAGTAAATCTCTGTTGAATGAATGAATGAATGAATAAATGAATGCATAAAGAGCTTTGTGGCTTGGACATTTAAAAGTTAGTAATTTATTTTCAAATCATATTTAGTTTGAGTTCAAGTAGTTCAAAACCGATATAATGCTCCACAATGCTTCCAACTATTGAAGAAATTCAATTTAAAAATATACAACTAACACTTTAAGTTCATAATATAGGTAAAATCATTATAAATATTTAATAATGCTTTATATTTTGCTTTTACTTTATAGTATACCACTACAGACACATAAAAAGTAGGATTCTGTAATTAAAACATTTTCCCTTCCTAAGTATATTACTAATTTGGAACACTATAAAAATATTAATGAAATTCAGGTTACATATTTTTCAAAAATAAAACTGGTATGTCCTATTACCAACTTTATAGGGAAAAGACAGGTATACGTTCTGGTACATTAGGAAGCTGATAAAAAAAGTAGACTCAGAATCACAAGTTAGTGTATTTGAATAGGAAAACAAATGACATGAATGGTTTAAATCCCCATCAAAACAGCTTCACGTTTCTCTAAATGTACATCTGGCAGAAAGACAAACTGTCAAATATACATCAGTTGCTTACATTCCCAAATACTGAAAATACTGGTGAAAAATCTAGAAAGAAAAATCTTAGAGAGACATAAATAAGCCTTATACCTTTTATCATTGAAAAAAAAATTTTTAAGACAGAGTCTCAAGCTGTTGCTCTGGGTAGAGTGCTGTTGTGTCATAGCTTACAGCAAGCTCCAAGTCTTGGGCTCAAGCAATCCTCTTGCCTCAGTTTTTCTATTTTAGCAGAGACAGGAGCTCTCACTTTTGCTCAGGCTGGTTTCAAACTCATGAGCTCAAGGTATCCACCTGCCTCAGCTTCCCAGAGTGCTAGGATTACAGACACGAGACACCAAGAGTCTAATTTTAGTTACTATTTGGCTCTTTTTCTTTTTTGAGACAGAGTCCCATTTTGTCGGCCTTGTGATGGCGTCATAGCTCACAGCGACCTCAAACTTTTGGGTTCGAGTGATTCCCTTGCCTCAGCCTCCTGAGTAGCTGGGACTACAGGCACCTGCCACAATGCCTGCCTATTTTTAGAGGCTGGTCTTGAACCTGTGAGCTTAGGCAATCCACCTGCCTCGGCCTCCCAGAGTGCTAGGATTACAGGCATGAGCTACTGTGCTGGCATTGGATTTCTTATGGAAAAGTATGAACTACTCATGCGCAACAGAGTAAATTTTTATTTTCCATTTTATGCAAAGCTGTCCAAATGATTTTTGAGAACTGAAAAATTATTAGCTATTATTTATGGTTCAAGTTCTAGCAATGGCCATCCCTAAATGGATACTCCATTAATGTGTTAGGGGCATAAGACAGTCTTTGAAATTTGTATCACATGAATATATTTTAAGGTATCTAGTTCTTCTGGTGAGTATAATTTTTTAGATGGGAATTCAAGATAGAACAAGTTCCAAGTTACAGTACACTGTGTTAAGGTAAGGCTCCAGTTTATTTTAGAAATAGAATAAACTGTAGCTTCTTTTTGTATTTGCTAGGGAAAAAATATATGTACACTCTTTCTACCTTAGGTTACTAGATTCCTATCTCTTCAGAAAACAGTAGACAACTGGTAACTTAGCTTTTGATTTTAAGTGATTATTTGGTAGTATAATCACTCTTTATTTTATGGCTTTTTAAACATTAAGTCCTTAAATATTTGAAAAGCATTCACTATCTTCTGGTAAGTTCATAAAAAAAGTTGTGATTATCAGTTTGGAAAATTATAAAGCCTTAAAAAATGAGTTTTTAAAAAAGTTTACTCAAATAGAAATTCAGAGTACAGAGGCCAAACAAGAAAACGCATTTAAGAATTCCGTACCTGATCCCCCTCAAAATGGATCTATAATCTTGCCTTGTTGTCAAGAGTTGGTGGTGGGAGGAAGGTCTCAAAAAAAGTCTCAGACTGAAGTTTGGATACATTAGCAACTGAAGTTTTTTTCCTTCAGGGTCAAAATAACCCTTCATGCAATCTATTTTTTTTTTAATAAGTCCAGGGTTTTAAAAAACAATAAATGTGATATTAAAGTTCTCTCTTACAATATCTTGGCCAGTTCACCATATAGATTTAAAATAAAGTGAACATTTGTTTAAGGATTTATATGAAAAAATATACATCTTTGAATTTAAAATTGAACTATACATATTTAATAACATTATATAAAATGAATATAAAAGCTAGAAGGCTGAAGTAGCTCAAAGTCTAAACAGGTTTTAAAAGGTAAATCCCCTGATTCACATTATAATTTTAATGATCAAGTTACTCAGATAGTAAAGCATGAAATATTACTAAGGAAAGGTCTACTGTATTAATTTTGAATATAGAATCTCTCCATTTTCTAAGTGGAAAAAACTTGAGTAAAACTAGTTTTATAGTATAGACCCATTTCTTAAAAATGTTGAGAGACAGGTACAAGAGATTTTTAAAAGCATTTTTCAAACTCTTAAAGTTACAGATACAAATTTATAGCATTAAGGAGACCTATAGTATGGATCAACATCAGTTTTACTTATTTTCAATTTTCTGATTCTTTTTTTTTTTTTTT